CCTCAAACTGATAAAAAATATTGACTTGGATGAGGAGATTGGTCCCTTGCTTGAAGAGGATAGGAAGAAAGGTCTGAAGAAAAATTGGTTCTTGATAACCTAGCATATAGAGATGAGCTGAAATGGAGGCAGAGAGCAAAAATCAGTTGGTTGAAGGCTGGGGATAGAAACTCCAGTTTTTTCACAAGATGGTAAATGTTAGGAAAAGAATCTATCAGATTGAAAAATTGGAGTTTGAAGGCCAGGTGGGTGAAACTTGAACTGAATTAAAAAACATAGCAACCCGCTACTTTTCAGATTTGTTCAAGGAGAACTGGATAAGGAGACCTCTCCCACTAGACCTGCCTTTCAACAAACTATCAATAGCACAACAAAGAGAGTTAGAAGCTCCATTTTCAGAGGAAGAAGTATGGCAAGTGATTAAAAAACTGGAAGTGGATAAGTCACCAGGGCTGGATGGTCTTACAAACATCTTCTATTAGAAGTGTTGGGAGGTAATTAAAGGGGACCTTCGTAAAGTGTTTCAGGAGTTCCATTCCAATGCTGCCCTTGAGAGAAGCCTGAATGCTACTTTCATATCTCTAATTCCGAAGGTGGAAGGAGCTACAAATATGAGGGATTTTAGACCTATAAGCTTACTGAACAGCTTCTATAAAATCCTGGCCAAGGTTCTGGCTTTAAGAATGAAAAAGGTTCTAAACTCGGTGATCTCCAAGAACCAATTTGCTTTTGTGCCGGAAAGACAAATGCTGGACAGTGTTCTAGTGGCAAATGAACTGATTGATTCAAGGAAAAGAGAAGGAAAACCTGGGCTGCTGCCAGAGGTCTTCGACTAAGAGACCCCCTCTCTCCTCTTCTATTCATTTGTCTGACGGAGGTTCTGTCTGCTTTTGTGAATAGGGTGGGAGAGGAGGGTCTATGGCAAGGTTTTGAAGTGACTCCGGGTGGAGAAAAGGTGCAGCTGCTCCAATTTGCTGATGATGCACTATGTTTCATCAGTGCCAACTTGGAGCAATTGGGTGTGCTTCTAGGGGTGTTGTGCTGGTTTGAAGTAGTATCAGGCTTGAAAGTTAACTGGGTTAAAAGCAGGTTAATCCCAGTGGGAAAGGAGGAAAATATTGAAAGCTTGGCAGAGGTGCTTGCTTGCCAAGTTGGTTTCCTTCCAACTACTTATCTTGGTTTCCCTCTAGGATCTAAATGTACCTCATCTCTGATTTTGGAGCCGGTGATGGAGAGGTTAGAAAGAAAACTGGCAGGCTGGAAGACCAAATATCTTACTTTGGGGGGGGGATTACTCTTCTCATGAGTGCTTTATCAAATCTGCCTTCCTATTTTCTGTCTCTTTTCCCAATGCCAATAAAAGTAGCCCAAAGAGTGGAAAAATTGCAGAGGGATTTTTATGGAAAGGGTGGGAAGAGGAGAAGAAAATTCACCTGGTTAGCTGGGATCAAGTTTGCACTCCAAAAGACAAAGGTGGGCTAGGGATCCGGAAAATGAAGGTCTTCAATAAGGCTCTGTTGGGAAAATGGATTTGGAGTTTTGGTAGAGAAAGAAGGAGCTGTTGGAGGAGTTTAATCGCAGCTAAGTATAACTCAGACAATGGGGACTGGGATACCACCAATTCTTTGATCTCTCTTGGGTGCTCAATTTGGAAGAAAGTAATGGAAATCTTCCCCTTCTTGACTGATGGCCTTTTGGTGAAGTTCTGGAAGGATGTGTGGTGCTCTAATAGACCCCTTGCCGAGGTGTTCCCTTAGCTATTCCAAATGGCAGAAAACCAAGAAGCTTTGGTTGGTGACTGCTACGAGATTAGGAGCAACACTTGTCTTTGGGGCCCATCATTTAGAAGGAATTTCCAGGACTGGTAACTAGATCAAGTTTCAGGGCTGTTGGAGATGTTATCTACTCAATCTCTGGATTTATCAGAAGAAGATTCTTGGATATGGTCTTGAGGTAAAGATGGACTGTTTTCTGTCTCCTCGTTTGCAAGGATCCTTTCAACTGATCAAGGTGCTGCTTTCCCTGCTGGTTAAGTGTGGAACCAGACTGTCCCTTCAAAGCTTAATGCTTTGATCTAGGCTTTGTTTCTGGATAAGTGCCTTACCAAGAAGAATCTGGAGAGGAGAGGTATGCATTGCAGGATTATTCTTGTGTGTTATGCAACCAATGGGAGGAGGACAGCAGCCACCTATTTCTGCATTGCCCTATCTCCAGCAAAATCTGGAATCATTTCTTCTCAAGACAGCTATCTTGGGCCATGCCTGCATCTGTTCTGGATCTATTATGGTGCTGGAATCAGAGAGGCTTATTATCTAAGTCAGGAAAAAAGTGTCTGGCTCTCAATTCCTGCTGCTGTGATTAGCACCATTTGGGCGGAAAGAAACAAAAGAATTTTCCAGGACAAGCACAACAATGTGGATCACCTGTTGTCATGTATTGTTGGAAAACTAATTTCTTGAAATTCTGTAGCTTTAGGGGTTCAACCAAGGGTTTTGGGAGCTCAGCTGATTGCTGGTAGCCTCTTTCTGTAATTTTTCTGGCTTCTTGGCCCCAGGTTTTATGGTTGTGGGGCCCTTGTATTTCTGTAATCTGGTTCTGATGAAATAAAATCTACTTTACTTTCTTCAAAGAAAAAAAACAGAATGGATTAAATTTTCTTCCCAGAGAAAGTCTGTCTTTCTTTTTGACATGCAATATTTTTTATGTATAACATATAAGTGCAGCTTCCTATGTAGTTTCAATTGTGAATTCTATCTATTTCTGAAAGTATAATCCTTTTTAATGCTATACTTCTTTTTTTGGAAATATGTGAAGTAATTTTTTCTCACCAGTGTCAAATACGTTATAAGTTTTTTTTAATGATATTCTTCATCTCACAAGTGTCGCATACATTTTTTAATGATATACTTTATCTCACAAGTGTCAAATACATTTGATAATTCAGTACATGTTTACAGAGGGTATGTTCTTTAAACTTTCATTTGGGCTTTGAAGCTTGACTTGCATACTTTTATCTTGTTGATATAAGTTAATGGCACACATTTGCATGATTGCATCTTCAGATTTATAAATGATATAAATCCAAGCATTAGCTAAGTGGAGAAGAATATTGAGAAGAACAACAAGTTTCTCCACCCAACTTAACTACTTTGTGGTGAAAGAATTCTCAAACCTGTGGAGTTCCTATCTTCTTTTTTGATCAGTAACAGTATTATAGCTTTATTAATGTAGAATTTCCCTCCTATCTGAGAACTTTATAGCAGGTAACAAGATCGGTACATTACAGCATGAAGAGCACAACAAAAGAGAGATTCCCTAATGACATTTCTCCTAGTGCCATTTTTTTTGCTAGCCCATCATCTAAGCTATTTGCAGATCTGTCAACCCATTTAGCTTTTGACCCCAATTCTTGCATCAAAGCTCTAATTTACTGTAGCATATTTCTGTTCATCCATGAGCCCTCTTGTTCTGTTTCCAGTCAACCTGTTACAATCCTAGATTCCCCTTCTATGATTATGTTTCTGCAATTTAGTCCTTTTGACTTTTGCAATCCATGCAACATTGCATACAACTCCATCCTCATTGAATCCCCTAAACCTATGGGGCCTGAAATCAAAGCTAGTATATTACTTTCATTATTTCTGATTTATTCCTCCCATCCTTGAAGTTTCCTCACCCATTAAATTGAGTTTGAGGTTTGGTGAAGGTGACTCCGTTCATCACATATAGTGGTTCTGCTCATAGAGGTGAAGAAAGCATATAAAATTGCTAGGAGCAAAGGAGATCTTATTCAGTTGTTGGCAGTGTGATATAATCATGGGTTGTCTTTATGGTGTGACCCATTGGAATTTTTGTTTTTGTTTGTTTTTTGGTTTTAATAGTCTGTTTGGGGGCTGATGTTTGGTTGTCGATGGATTGTTTCTTGCATTGGTGGTTCTTCTTCTTTTGGGTGATTTCTTGTCACTTTTCGCATATCTTTCTTTTTTTTTCCTTTTTTATCTTATTAGCAAAAAAAGTGGTTCTGCTCATAAAAGAATGTGCTACTGTTTTCCAGTTTCTTATGAAGTATGCTTTCATCAGTTGTAAATGAAGCAAAGATGTCTAAGGTTATAACCCGATGTGCCCCCTTCACAGTAATGTTTCAATCCCCTTAAATTTGTCATTCAGGAGTCTAGCATTCCTTTCTTCGCAAAACACCACAAAACTGCAGTTCTTGTGCATATCCACAATTTTTCTCCTCTCTTTTTGTAGGAGAGAAAAAGAAGCTTCAAATAGAATTTGTAGATCACCAGGCAGACACTACGATGATTTGAGGTGCAATTCTGTGTGCCGGAGTCTGTACTGAAGTTTTTTTGTCAGCAGTACTGGAATTTTTTCAAGAATGGAGATTGCAGGGTTTAAGCAGAAGAGGGAAAGTTTTGTGGGGTGTTGTTTTGCCTGCTGCTATCATTTGGACAGTATGGAGGGAAAGAAATCTGCAGATTTTTGAGAACAAACAGATATAGATATGATAATATATAATTTAAAAGGACTAATATGTTCATGGATAAGTTTACAAAACCTTTCAAGGTAGTCCAGCCAAGTTCTTTTTTTTTTTCTTATTTGATGTTGGCACTTTGTTTATTTAGGCATACTTTTGGATTTCTGTTATATATTCCCAGTGTACAGTTTCTCAACGTACATGGGCTGGATGTATGTTTTGGTTCAGTAGTTCTTAATATGATATAATACCTTACATTTCAAAAAAAAAGGCAAACACTACCTGCACCCAAAAAAAAAAGAAACGATCACATTATTACTTAGGCTTGGGTTTTGTGAGATGAGTTTCTAATCTGAGAAACATTTGTCTAATCTTCCATAAGATTGTTGTGCTTTTCTTCCTTGCCTTGCAATGTTAAATATTGTTTCGTTATTCAGTTTGCTCTTTCTATCAGTTCATTTAATATTTGTTTCTTGTCTTTCTGAGTTCCTCTTTGCTAATTTGGATTTTGTATTTCCAGGAGCATATAGATTATGATGTTGTGAAAAGTGCCAATCCTGAGTTCAAGAAGGCAACTGTACGGATTAATATCTACAAGCAGCACAGGCAAACAATTCAGGTGCTTAGAGATGGCCCAGTTTGCATGCATAATATGGTTCCTCAGCATGTTTTATTCTTATGACTATTGTTTTTTTATCAGCTATTCTTATGATTATTGTTGTTTAAATGTGAACATTATTATGAATCATATTGTTATCTAGTGTTCTTTTTCTTGGAGGGTCTAGATGTACTAGAAACATTCCAGTTGCCACTTTATTTTTTCCCTACTATTTATCCATTTCTGTTTCCCTCTCACAGTATATACAACCACAAGAACATGAAAAGCTTTCCCAGGTTGAACTGTTGGTTGTTGATGAAGCAGCAGCTATTCCATTGCCAGTTGTGAAGTCCTTATTGGGTCCATATCTTGTCTTCCTTTCATCTACTGTGAACGGGTATAACTTGTTCTTACTTTTTTTTCCATCATTTTGGACTATAAATAAAAAAGATTAAGAAAAAAAGCTAATTGTTCTATCTGGGTTAGCTGCCTGGTCTGCATGTCTTTTGATGTTTGAATTTTTCCTGCTCAAAGTTATGAAGGTACTGGTCGCTCTTTATCATTAAAGCTTCTGCAACAATTGGAAGAGCAGAGTCAGATGGGTACCAAGAGCATGGATGGTTCTCTTTCGGGTATAAATTTATTCCTGTTTTTTTTTTTTCTCTTAATTCAGTTAACTTGTTGCTTCTTTGGCAGGACTGAAGCCTCAGTCTTCTTAGAACTTTGTTATGGGGAAAGGCAGTGGCAAGTTTTGATGAAATCACGATTGAAATGTTGCATGTTATAGACTTCATCATTTTCTGAACACATCATAAGTTATCAAAATAAATATCTTGTTATGCTTATCAATCACAAGAAAGGAAAATATCTCGTTGTTCCTGTCTGAAGAACCAGTCTTACAGTTCAGCAATCATGGTTTCTATTTCCTAGACATAAATGAAAAAACTGAGAAATGGCTAATTGGAACTTAGAAGCTTGTCTGACTATTATTATGGCCTGTAATCATGGTGTTATAAATAATATGTTCTGTGTGGGTGATCTCTGGTGTTTTCCATATTCTCTTCAAGTTAGTAGAGGAGATTGTTTAATTTTATGGATGTACCATGAGTTTGGTTGATTGTCAGGTCTCTCAACCAGTTCCCTGCATGGTTTTAAATATCTTTGTTGGTTGTAAGACATGATATCTTTGCCTTGGGTCTCTAGGGGCTACACTACTATTTTTTATAACGAGGCATTTGATCATTATATGCATATGCAAGGAGAGGCATAAAGCTGAGTGACTTCAGCATCTGTTTGAAAGCGAGTAGAACTATCCACCCTTTGCACCCTCCCCTTCAAAATAAAAAGAAAATCCATTTATTGTTAACAATATCAAGGTAGTACTCTGGCTCCACTTTTACAGCTGGCTGCTTTTGATAATCAGGGAAAATTACCAGTATCAGTGTTAGTTCTATTTCTCATCTAGACAAACTTCTTTCTGATGCATTTAGAAGCATTAATGGAACATGTTTAAATGAACATTTTCAGGATTTAGTCTAAGAGGTTAAGATTTTGGGTTGCCATTACATGCTTTTATGTTAACAAGCATATCCACCTTAGAAAAGAATAGTTTCACTTCATTGTTTCCATTGATAGAAAGTCAGTCTTATAAAAACCTGTCAAACTGTGGTTATGATCTATTTCTATGGAGATTTTAATGGTGTTAGAAAAACTTGTTTTGAGCTTCTTTATTTGTAAAATTTACTCAATTTTCTTAACATTTTGTCATGTAGGTAGGGTTTTCAAGAAGGTCGAGTTAAGTGAATCTATAAGATATGCTTCTGGTGATCCAATTGAATCCTGGCTTAACGGCTTACTTTGCTTGGATGTCACAAGTTCCATTCCCAATATCAGTAGGTTAGCATTTTTAAGAGTTAAGGTACTGGGAAGATAGTACTGATTCTGTCAGTTTAGTTGATGTTTTCCACTGTGCTACTAGGTTACCTCCTCCAAGTGAGTGTGATCTTTACTATGTTAATCGGGATACACTTTTTTCCTATCACAAAGACAGTGAGTTATTTTTACAGGTAATGTTCTAGTCCTCTACAAGTTCTATATTCTATATCTCTTTTGCTTATTAACATGGTTGATGCTTGTATTTTCTTTTGCTCTTGGCTTCCTACAGCGAATGATGGCTCTTTATGTTGCTTCTCACTATAAAAATTCTCCAAATGATCTGCAATTAATGGCTGATGCTCCTGCACACCACTTGTTTGTGCTACTTGGTATGCTTGTTCTTGAACTGGCTTTATCAATTTTTTTTTCTTGTGAACAGGACATTTACTTTATCACATTATGTGCAGGTCCTGTTGATGAGTCAAAAAATCATCTTCCTGATATTTTGTGTGTCATTCAGGTCTGTTTCTATTATTCTTTTTTCTCTTGATTGATAATATATACGTTTATTAAAGGTTAAATTGAAGATACTGAAAGTGTACTTTTTCCTAAGAAAAATAGAAGCAGGCAAGAATCAACTCTACATGCTTCAGCAATAAGATAAAATAAAATTACAAAGATATGAATCAACAATAGATACTATCCTGGATTGGCTGTTCCTTGATACAAGGAGAAATTATCCAGACCACCCCTAGTTAAAGTATTGGTAATAAAATTGCCAGATTTTCCATCCATCTGAAAGAAATATTCACTTTGGATGTTAAACTTTCACCACCATAATTTTCTGACTTGTGGCTCAACTAGGTACTGCCTGGAATTCTCCTAAAAGCTCCCATGTGTTCTGTGCCCAAGGAAAACTTTGATATGAGACTTTGAAGCAAGACAATGATCTTTTCTCTAAATGTGTTGCTCTCCCCAACTGGGCTGAAGTGAAACCATGATAATCATTCACCTGGATTCCTGTATGCACTACTTGTCCCTGAAGAGCCCAGAATCCTTATTACTGATATATCTTAACGTATACACACATACATATATATGTTATCAGATATTGTATACTATAAAGCAACCATTGAACACATTTTGTTTCTTTATCATTGAGAATATTCTAACATTTCATTCTCATTAAGAATGATATCCCTCCATTTGAACCTATTGATGATGAAGAGGTGGTCAGGAAAGAAAGTTCTGATTCCTTGTTATATCATTTGAACAAAGGTGATAAACAGGATAATAAGGCCAAAAGGATATATATGCAAAACAAACCCGAAGAGTGACCTGGGTCACTTCCCAAAGGTGAAATGTCAGCAGGGAAGCCTAGGGAGAAACTTGGTGCAATCCTATCTATTTAGGGCCTACAAGTTACAACCAAAATCGCACCCAATATCAAATATATAGGGGAGACTTTCTTTTTGTTTGAGAGATTTCATCTTTTTTTATTTTTTTTATGGTTAAATTTCCTCTTGATTTGCCGAGTGTCAAAGTTCTCAATGATGAAACTCCCATGTTTTACCCAAATTAGTTTCTCCCAAGAATTTTGAAGTTTTTATACTGATCTCCAAACTCATTTATCCAAATGACCCTTATATGATAGGATAGAACCTTATTTATTTATTGATCAGTAGGAGAGAACAATATGCATTTATGCATTAGCTTAAGTGGCTCAAAACCCACCCCTCAACCCCATTTAAGAAAGAAATTGTTCCTAGTCCACCTAATGTAAATAAAAAGATCCACCATTCTTCCAACATAAAGATTCTGCTTAATGATGACATGTATATTTTCACTTGATTTTGGGATCTACTTTGTGGTAGACTCAAAATCGATCCTCATTTTATTTTTTCCCTGGGGAGGGGAAGTTAATCTTTAAAATGTATTGCATTTCTTTTGGCTCATAATTGTGCTTGTCAATCTGGACATTTTAACCTTTTTGTCTTCCTCTTCTTTAGGTGAGTATGCAAAGGTTTCCTTGTATTTGCCTAAAACATATTCAAGGACATTAACATTTATGTTTTTTTATGTGTTTTTGCAATTTTGAAATATCATCTTATCACAGGTTTGCCTTGAAGGACAAATTTCTCGTAATTCTGCCCTGAGAAGTCTAAGTGATGGACATCAACCCTTTGGAGATCAAATTCCATGGAAATTTTGTGAACAGTTCCAGGATACAGTTTTCCCAAGTCTTTCAGGTGCTCGAATTGTACGTATTGCAGTCCACCCAAGTGCCATGAGGGTAATTCTCTACCACATTCAAAATTCTGTTTATTCTGCAAGATCTTGTGGCAACTTTATAATCAGTATTTTGATTTGGTGTAGCTTGGATATGGTTCAACCGCAGTGGAGCTCTTAACAAGGTATAATTTTTTAACCTCTGATCAAGAGTTCTAGACACAGAAAAAGAGAGATATCATGGAGAAGAAGTGAAGTTTCTTCTCCAAATGTCTAATCCAATGCCAATTTTGTAAAATTTGGGTTTCTAATCTGGATGAACTTTGATATTTTTAGGTAATTTTTGTTTCCATAATTGGCATATTGATATTTTGAACTTATCTAAAGTATAATAATAGTATAAAATGATCTAATTAGATCACTTTTATAATTTATGGTTCAATTCAATTGCAAGTTCATCTCTTGTTGACCCTATATTTTAGGATTTGGAACTCGTTGCCCCATAGAATTAGTGCTAGGATGGGCAAAATGGAGGGGGTGCATCTAGAGTCTTATGTTATAGGCAAATACAACTTAGATTAAAGAGAAAAATTCTATAAAACAGTTGTAAAGAGCTGTATGGAGCAGAGTGTGGGGCAGTCAAGAAACATGTCCAAAAATTGATTGTGGCAGAAATTTGTATGCTGAGATGGATGAGTGGAAAAACTAGAAAGGATAGGGTCAGAAATGGAGTCATTTGAAGGAACCTAGGAAGTAGCTCCTCAAGGTGATAAAATGAAAGTAGACTAAGATGGTTTGGTCACGTGCTGTTAAGTCCTTAAGTTTGCTGGATTGGGAGCAGGTTATTAAGATACTCCCAAACACAACTTAAAAAAATAACAATAAAGAAGAAAAAGGGCTTTCTTATAAGCCCAATCAGTCTTATTGGTGGGCTGATACATTTTAGTAAAGAAAGGGGCCTGCAGTCTAGTTTAGTGAACAACATGCCCCAAGTTAATTGGACTTGTTTGTAATGCAATAAGCATTTAATGGACCTGTAGTAGAGCCCATTTAATGGAACAACAAGCCCTAAAAGAATAAATCTATATTAATTAATTCCTTGTGAGGTGTCCCACTTATTTATAAGGGGATGCCACTTGTCTTGTATTCTAACAAGAGGGCTATTTTCCCTCCTTTAACCACTTGAAGTGGGGGGGGCACATGTCACCCTAGGGGAGAGAGTTACTTTCCCTCTAACCACTTTAAGTGTGTGGGGGGGGGGCACACATGTCACCCTAGGGGAGAGTTATTTTCCCTCCTCTAACCACTTTAAGTGGGGGGACACATGTCATCCTAGGGGAGAGAGTTTTCTTCTCCCTCATTAACCCACTTTAAATGGGGGGGACACTTGTCACCTTAGGAAGGAAGAGTTTTCTTTTCCCTCCTTAACCCATTTTAAGTGGGGTGACACTTGGCACTCTAAGAAGAGAGGAGTGGAGAGTTACTTAACCACCTCCCTCCTCTATATAAACCCCTCTCCTACAAGGAGAAGGGGCTAATGCCTTTTTGTTGGCTAATACTAATTTATCTGTAGGATATCTAGCATTAAGAAACAAGTGGGAAGAGAAAAAAGCATAAGAAAAGGAAGAAGAAGGTAGGGGATCTTGTTTTCTTCCTATACCTCTTCAATATGATACTCCTTGTGCTTCCCACATGAGATGGAAGACCATATTCTATCTATTCCTCTCACTCCTTTCTTTTTTCTTTTTATTTTCTTTTCTTCCTTGTTTCATATTGAAATACATGTAAGGAGATAACTATCTATAGCTTTGTCTATGAAACTCGGCTAATTATGGTTCCTTACTTCATTTTGACCCTGAAAATCATTACTTTATGTGAAGGAGGCAACCATCTACAGCCTTGTTCATGAAACTTGGCTGATTATGGTTCCTTACAACCTCTTAACCTATGTGTGAGGGGAAAAACCATCTACAGCCTTGTTCATGAAACTTGGCTGATTATGGTTCCTCACAGCATGATAATGCACATAACCACAATTTAAAGGCCATTTGCAGCCTTATTGATGAAACATGACTTTCTCTCAAACAAAGTGAGAATATATACCAGAATTTTCAAAAATGATACTTAGTTTAGTCTATTCATTTGTACTTCTGAATCAGAATCAAAAGGTTTTCTCTACCCCTAGCAGAGATGTAATTAAGGTATTCTACGTGATTTCCTGAATGGGGCTTACCCAAATAACAAAAAACCCAGTTATTAGTCTAATTGGGTGAATTATGTTATGTGAGAAATTATACTAAAAAAATTCCACTAACATGTGCCTAGAAGACCATCAACAACACCCTAAAGAAGTGATCTGTTGCAAGTTGAAGGGGCTAAAAAGGTCAGGGCAGAGCTAAAAGGACATAAAAATAGTAAGGAATAATTTAAGTGCTCATAACTTAAGCACTTAATAATGGATTTGCATTAAACAGAATGGAATGGTGAAACAGAACTCATGTAGTTAGTTGACCCCTATAGTTGGGATAAGGCTTATATGATGATGGTAGCAATGGTTTTTCAGTCACCTATGCAATGAGACCAAGGTTCAGTCCTTCAGGATGTAAGAATACTTCAATGCATAGCAAACTGCAACCATTATCCATGCACTAACAAACTGTTATATTTGCATCCCTCTGTTATCCTATTAACATCAGGTCATGACTAAGTTGAAGGGCAAATGAAAAAAATGGAAAATATGAAGTAGAGCTGTTGACAAATGATCTTTTCTGGTTGCCTGGTTGTCGAAAGGGATAATTTATTCAGTTACTGACCATTGGTATCTTTTTTTGTTGGTGGGGTGGAGGGGAGCAAAGCCAGAGAGAGCCAACCTAAGCCAAGTCAAAGCTAAATTTTGACAAGCTCAGGCATGAACTGGCCTATTGGGATTGGGTGGGCTTTTGGATCAAAGGTCTTGTCACTAGATTTTTTTTTTTTAATTTTTAGGTATGTCTTCTGACTAGATTTTTATTCAGTTACTGGGCATTGGTATCGTTTTTTGTTGGTGGGGTGGAGGGGAGCATAGCCAGAGATGGCCAACCTAAGCCAAGTCAAAGCTAAATTTTGACAAGCTCAGGCATGAACTGGCCTATTGGGATTGGGTGGGCTTTTGGATCAAAGGTCTTCTCACTAGATTTTTTTTTTTAATTTTTGGGTATGTCTTCTGACTAGATTTTTAACTAGTGATTCTGAGTTTAAGGCTATCAATGCAAGTCGAGCAAGATTTTTAAGGTGCATAATATTGCAAGTTAGTAAGTTCCATCTCTAATGAAACCTTTGATCTCAGCCTCTCAGGTTACCTGAGGCCTACACCCATGCCGCACCTGACCTGACTAAGGGCATAAGTCAAGGTCTCATGCTCATACAGAAGCCCAAAAGTACAATCCTGGCCTGACTCAGGTTGGGTTTTGCTTGGCTTATGTTGAGCCTATGCAAGTTGCATTCTAAGTGTAGATACACTTTTATTTACAATAAAAAAATACAAAACACCCTCCTTGAGAGATTGTGAGTTCGCAATATTTATATACTCGTGGACATATTTATATATAGATTTGAACTGAAGTTTGAATCCTGATTTTTAGTCTCCTTTTGGTATTATTAGTTAAGATAATATGGGACTTAGGGGATGGGACAGAGCAGGGTGCACGTGAGGCCCACTGGCCATACCATTGGAGAGTCTACTATTCTGTGGGTTTGATCCTGTGCCTCCTATTTTGGAGGGATGGCAAGTAACCATATTGCCATCAATTGATCAGTTTTTTCACCTTATTATTAAATAAGTGAACTTTCCCATAACATATTTTGCAGTATGCTGTGGTGATGCCTTGAGTATGGTTGTATATTTTGAATAAGTAGATACTGATGAAAGAATATCTAGTACCGAGAAGTCCTATTCTTGTCTTTTATTTATCTGTAACAGAAGATATGACTGGAATACCCTATATATTGCCTAACAATGAAGCTTGTTGAATTATCCTGCAAAGGTAAATGGTTTTAGGACAAAATTATTTCAATGTTTAATATTTTTCATAGTAGATATCATGATGTGCTTTTGCCATGAATAAGCTTTGAAAAGTAAGATGGCTATATGATTTTACTATCTGCAGGTACTATGAAGGAGAGCTGACTCCAATATCTGAAGCAGATCCTGATAAAGTGGTTGAGAAAACCAATGTCAGAGTTACAGAAGCTGCAGAGAAGGTCGTTTTATGAACTAAAGTTTATCGCATATGCCTTATGTTGACAATTTAGTAAATTCTCATAGATTGCATCAACAATTTATGACCTATCCTGTATATGACCTGGGAACTAGGGTTTAACTGACAATTATTTAAGACCTGGATTGCATCAAAACTGGATCATTTGTGGTTATAGTAATTTGCATATTATACGCTTAAAGTAACTTCTTTATGCATCTATATTTTAAGCTGCATGACACCTTTGGTTTGAAGGCCTCTAGGAGGCTTGCTTCTGGTTCTCTCTCAGTTGGATGACTGTTGAGGGAAATTAAAAGGAAAAAAAAGCCCAACCAAAGGAAATGGTTTCCTGACTTTCACATTTTGAAAATTTGGTCCACAGTATACCATATAAGTTAATGAGGATAATGTACTCATTGTAAATTTGTGATGATTGGGATGCTAATATGCTGGATTAGATGATATTTCTCTAATTTCACATCTTTGTCATTGCTTTAAGTTAATTATTTTCTAAACTTTGAGGTTTTAACTATAGGAACATTACACTTGCAGGTTTCACTATTAGAAGAAAATATAAAGCCAAGATCAAACCTTCCACATCTACTTGTGCATCTTCATGAACGACCACCAGAAAAACTCCATTACATTGGTGTCTCTTTTGGGCTGACCCAGGATCTTTTCCGTTTTTGGAGAAAACATAAGTTTGCTCCATTCTACATTGGACAAATTCCAGTTATGATATTTCTATATGTTTATTTCTTGCCCTGCATTGTATTTATTAAATAATTTATTTAGAATCCTTTGGCAGGATTAGTTGGTTTGACATCTTTTCTGTAACAGAATACTGTGACTGGTGAGCATACATGCATGACCCTGAAGCCATTGAATAATGATGACATTGAAGCCAGTGGGTCTGATCAATGGGGATTTTTTTCACCATTTTATCAAGGTGCGCTCATGCTGGGATGAAATAAATATGATTCATTTCGAGGTGGTTATTTGATCTCTTAGAACTTCATGGTATTTTTGCAGATTTCAGGCGAAGATTCACCAGACTGCTTGGTTCTAGTTTTCGAGCTATGGAGTATAAGCTTGCTATGAGGTCAGTTTGGTTTCATTCTTCTGAATTCTGTTTGGGTCTGTTGAAGTTTGACCTGCCATAGAATTCTGTCTTGTTCGTTGACTGTAGAGTAAAGTAGACAGCAAGAAGTAGGAGAGGAAAGAAGAAAAGAGAGAAGAGAGAAAAGAGAGAAAGGCTGGTTCGAATTAGGGAAAAAAGTTAATCCCTTGATTCGGCCAGACCTATTATTA